AGGAAATAACCATTACTGATTTTTGTAGTTTTTTTTTTATATTTCAGGGAAGGGTGTACAGAGTGTTCAGGGTATTACTGCTAGATCTGACTTGTAGTGATTCTCCTGTTTACAGCCTCCCGAATGCTGGGATTACAGGCGCATTCCACCATGTCATCTCAATCACTGTCTCTGCATGCTCTGGAGGTGGGATGGGCACGGCAGGCCTGGGGATCGAACCCTGGCCCATGCTGCCTGCTTGCAGGGATTTTTGTGGTTTTATGTCAGTATATTCAGGGTTATTTGGTTTACATTTATGTATAATAAAAAAGTTCCTCTATTCATTTTTCTATCCATCATTTGATCCAGTCATCTTTTCTAGTCCTACACTTATTTCTTAAAGCAAAGCAAATCTGTGATCGTAATACATTTCAATTCTTGGTGATGCATAACATAAATAAGTTTTAATAGTTTTGAATAAGTCAAAAAGGACGTAATGGGTATATATGCAAATGCATCCCTTGTATGCTGCAGCAAACAGATACTAAGGAGTAGAGGGAGAGATGTGGACCAAGTTTTCCAAAGGGCCACAAAATAAATGGCAAAAGAACAACACTTTAGCCCAGGTCACTTCCTAAAAGACCTCATCCCATAAATATTATACTAGAATACTTCAGAAGGTAAGCAAAATCATTTCCCCAGGGCTTCATATTGCAGATAACGCCATAACCACCCTTATGAATATTACATTCTTATTATGTCTTACAAATAAAAGTCAGATACAAAAAAATAAAAACTGTTATTTGAGGTACTCACAAGTTGTTATGTTGAACTTTGAGTCCCTACAGAATATGATAAAAAAACATTTAAAAATTAGAATATATTTTTAAAATAGGCATAAAGCATTATATACTCTTTACATTTACACATAAGTCCAAAAATCTCACCATATTCAACCTTGAAGCAGGACAGTCCCACAATATTCCTTTTCCTTTCCCTGTCTTTTGCTTTCATTCACCACCCCCTTCTTTTTGAACAATCATCTACCTGAGAGACTTCATAGCAGCAACTGGCATGTCATGACAAGCAGCCCGTATTCAGAAGACCATAATGACAGGCATTCCAAGCATGAAACTACTATTACAGATTACTATCTGTAGTGCAGTTGCTTAGTTCACAGATATCAGTATATATAGTTAGTCAGGGTGAAAATCTTTCCAATTAACTGCTAGATTCTCAGGATCATTGCCTTCCCCATATAACTGTATGTCTTGACATTGTCATGTTTCCTAACTCATCACTACTTCATGAAAAATACCTGTTCCATATTATGCCTAAGATTTTTGATATGCAGACAGATAGTGAGGTTAAACTTAATGGCCTAAGTTGTATGGTAATAACAATAAGCTTGTCTTCTGGATGGTTAACAACCTAGGTTTGCAGACAGAAATTAGATGAAAAGGAGGGCTGCAAGGAAAGCCCACATTTTGGGCCTAGCCTTCCAAGGTTAATTAAGACTCAGGACATATGAGAACTTGTACTGTAACGTCATGTAACTCGGCAGTGTCCCAAATTTTCTGATCAAGGAGATTATGGGGCCAAAGAGGAAAGTGATCGATGATGTAGAGTGTGCCTAAGGAGAGTCACATGGAGAGAAAACATTCTCTCAGGCTTTCACAGAGAGCACATTGGCCAAGCAATGGTCGTGACTCATCCACATGGCTGACACTGACAAAGGTTCTACAATCTGAGGTACAGGATCTCAGGATAAATCCTGAGGGGATTTCACTGACCTTATCAGACCCAAAAGCTACAACTCTTGTTGCATAGGTCCTGCTTTACCATGGTCTTAACCACCGAGCAGAAATATATAAAAACGAAATATAAGAAGTGAAGCCATGCTGTCATGTTGAGCTGTAGGGGACTCAGATCAACAATTTCTGACATTGCCAGTGAAGCAGAAGACCCAATACTATTATGGACTACTGAACTCTTTTAGATTATTTTCCTGAGTTAACACATCTATAATATTCAAATAACAGAACTTAACAAAAAAAAGGGTATACAGATGAGTGTCCATTTTGCATCTGTATATTCAAAGTGGTTAGGATAGATATATAGTTACATTCTCTTAATGAATAGAGTGATTTGTTCTAACGGTGTTTGTAGATAGGATATCATGTCCACATCTTGTACAGCAATTAACCACTGGGAGGAATGCATGCAATGTGTTAATTATTGAAACTATACTACCAATTTGATTCAAAACTGTCTCATTGCTATTTGTTTATCAATAGAATTATGGAAAAAAACATTTTGTTATGCTATCTCTAACATGGGAACAGCCTTGGGAAGCATCACATACACTGCTACTTACATTTCTGTGACAAGAAAACAACAATAAAAAATTAAAAACTACAGATACATAAAACTTCAAATCAACAATCTAATTAAACTTTATATATCTTAAAAGTCATGACTTCCTACAGTAGAACATGCAAATAGCATTTGAGGTTTATATTGTTTTAAGGAATATAGATACAGGAACAAAAATATCAGTGATCCATATTTCCACCATTCTTTTAAGCTTATGTCAAAATAATTCCTTTTACTCTAAAATATTGTAGAGTAGTTTATATTTGATAGAAAATCTTAACCTAAAGACATAAAATATAAATTGTCTCATTGAGCAATCAATAAAAACCATCTCCATGGGCCAGTGATATAACTTGGCAATCGAAAGCACCTACATAGGCAAGCTTAGGCAGCACAGGAACCACAGTTGGATCCTGGCATCACATGCTACAGCAACCCCACCCCCAGTGTGGGTTTAGCCAGCTACAAAAAAAAAAAAAAGTATCCAAATTGGATTGTAGAATTTGGTTCTTTTTTGTGTGTGTGGTACTGGGGATTGAACCCAGGACCTTGCACTTGCCAGGAAGGTTTTATGTCCCTGAGCTATCTCACTGGTCACTAGAATTTGGTTACTAAAAAGTGTTATTTTCTCTAAATTTCTTATTTGCATAATTCCTTTTGTCTTGTAAAGGCAGACAGTGGTTTACCTTAGGCAGTGGTTTAATTTACTGTTTTATTCCACATGTTGCTGCTTGCCTTGACAGGTTCCAAATCTTCCACTACCCACTCACTACTCCCAGTTAATATTCTTCTTTTAATACATGAATATTTTTCTCAAAAGCTATCAATTAATTTTTGAGTTCATAATTATTTCATAATTTTTCTGAGAATATTAAAGTGTTATATTACTTTAATGGCCATTTTTTTGTATCTGAAATTGATGCTGTAAATCTATATTGACTATCCTAGTGAAGCTATTCTACATATCTCTTTTCTCTGATATTTTTATGAAAGATCATTTTTCTTTTTACATAACATTCTTAATGATGGTATTTGGCACTTGTAATTATTCTTTGCTTTAGTCTTCACAGCCATTCTTGTTAGCAGTCCAAGAGCTACATTATCTTTTTAAAGTAAATAACAATATTTTCTGTAAATTTGAGCATTTAATAGACATTTTAAAGTTACTATAGGCACAGAATAGGTAGATGTTTTTACATTTATAGTGGAGTTCTTTCACAGAGCAGACCAAATAAAAAAGTGGGTTTATTTTTTCTCAATTTATATCATCATTGCCATCTCTTTGGTAATGGAGTTCTGGAAAGATAGTCTGATTAAAACCCACAGATAAGACACAAACTTCATTTTCAACAATACTTTTCAAACTCTAGTCCTGTCATCATTTCTATTATAGTGTACAGAGAAACATACAAATCTTTTATAATCTTTTAAATTTTATTTGCTTATTTTGTTGGAAGCAAGTAAATGAAAGGACCCTTCAGAGAAATCATGGTTGTCTCATGCCCATACTCTCAATTAAGAGTAAGAACTAGTTAACTGCTCCTTTTTCTTTCTGGATCAAGTTATAATACTGAAATGTGCGATACACAGAGCATTTTAAAATACATGCAATTTCAAAAGAGGTGCTGTGTGAGTGTTTGCGCCTGTGTGTATCAGCTTCTTAGAGAAAGAGATACTTTATTTTAATAAGGAAGGCATTATTTTCATGTCAATTGAAAAGTAGCTGTAGAATTTGACAAATAATTTATGAAGGAAGACATTACTATTAGTGGAGAAACAAGTTGAAGAGATTCTGAGGAATATCAATTAATATAAAGTAGTTCATATTGAAGTTTATCGTTAGTGGATTAGCAAGAGATTATTTCTTGCTCACACTGCTTACATATCTTAGATGAAAGTTGTATGCAGAGATCCTGGGTAAAGAATTTTCTCCTTCTACAGTTATTTCTATTATATTTGTGGTAGGAAAAGATAACATAAAAATTTCTCATTCATTCTTGGCCACAATATTCAACACTTCACATGCCAATGCCAAAAAGTTACAGTCTCACAAATGTCACCACAGGTGGAAATGTGTAATGACACTCTCTGCCTGAAAAGAAGAAACGGGTACGTTTCTAAAATATCTCTTAGATATAGTGTATGGAGATTTGTTAAGCCATCTTTTGTTCTCTTCTGTTGTGCTGATTAAGTTTAAGAACCAGACAAGTGTTTTGTGGCAGATTATACATTTTAGAAAATCATAAGTGCTACACTAGACTTCTCTTCTTACCATGATTAAAATGTATTTTCTTGTATTTTATTTTTGTATACAAGTCTATTCAAGGAAAACATTAAGAGGAGCTTAAAGAAAATGTGATTTGCAATATCATTAAGAATTACTTTATTAAGGCAATTTAAATGTTAAAATTTCCCTTATTTTGATGCATCTAGGTATTATTATGCTGATGGATCCAGATCAATGACATATTAAAATACTTTGCACTATGTGGACATAAAAATCTCTTTGTGTCTTCTCATGGTAGAGACTTAGTTGCCTACCCCAGTAAACATTTGGCCTTCCCTGCTCACTACAAAAACCTTAAATTTATTTAGATGTATATGTAGAGAAAGGATACTTTGGCCTTTCTTTTATCTAGATTTGGTCATTCAATTAATATGTGGCTACATATAGGGGTGCTCTGTGGTATTTCAAAGAGACTTCCCTATAGAGATATTGCAGTCTTTTCCTTCGTTTATTTTTTAATTTCCAGAAAGTCAATTTGATATTCAGAGTTCTGCATATTTTAGTTGACTCTTAAGGAAATGAACAGATATGGGCCTCCTAGCTGATCTGTAGCCTGAAAGTGTCATGCAGCAAATTGTCAGGATCCCAGATGAGGAAGCCATACTGAAAGGCTTCTAATAAATCTTGGTAAATCTCATAAGATAATAGCCTTTTATGTGTATTTAAGGCTATTTTACCTCAATTTAGCATATGGATTTGAGGCTGTACAATCGCTCCATACCAGGCCCCAAAAGACAAATCAAGAATGTATATAAACTGACCAGTACTTTTAAGAAAGAAACTTTGTGGTTTGTGCTTTTATACAGACTTCCCTTGCTTTTCATTTAGGAGATAGCCTTAGAGGAGAACGTGGGAGAAAATCCCCAATCTATTAACTAAATGCTCTGAGTTACTCGTTAAGTTAATCTGCAGAAGTATGAATACTTACTCTGTGTTTGCTTATGTTTTTCCTGACTGAACACTCAAATGCCTCCATCTCTTTATAGCCTTTCTTTGTCTTTCTTGGGTGCTCATTATTTCTTTCTTCAAAAGAAAGGCTTCAGAGAAAATGTAACTACTTATGACATCATAAATAAAAGAGAGGAGACTGTGTGACCATGGCATATATGCTTGTTAAACTGTATTTTATGCTGCGTTGACAATTTCTTTAGATGAGTACTCTCAATGATTCCATGTTTAGAAAATTAAATTCTGATTGCACATATGAAGAGGATAGATATTTCAGTCTCCCTTCTAGCTGGATTTGGTTATGTAGTTAAATGTCCTTTTACACTACTTCAGTGTATTTTTCTATTTGATTTGGGATTTGTTGCCTTATTGTTTCTTTACAGTCCAGGCTACGCTAGATCTTTGAATTCAGTCAAACCTATTACAGAATATCATATAAAAGAAAATTTGCTAAAACCTGAGATACAGAATTCTCATACTGCATTTCAACTGGTAATTTGATTTATTTGATATATGTATGTATTTACCAATATTTATTAGAGCTCTGACTCTAGCTTAATATATATCATAAATTTTTCAAAATTAATATGAAGAATTTCTTGGAGGACCTTTATACAAAATCTATGAACAGAAAGCAACCATTTAAGAAGCAAGAATATAAAATGGTAAAGAAATTGAAATAGCTATAATCTTACTATTCTTACAGTATCTATAGTGCTTAGAGCTCAACACATTCATTTCATATATTATTGTTCACTAAAGTAAAAAAAACTATAAGCAAAACTTTGAATGTCCTAGTTAAACCCCAAATCAGTATTCAGTAAATAAAAAGCTATAAGAAAACTGGTTTCTTTTAAACAACTTTTCTCATAGAAAAAAAATCATTCAAGTAATCAAACATATATATCTCAAACTTTATGATCTTTCAGAGGTATAGATTTAAATATAATTTGCTCTGGAGAAAAGTAAATTTTTCTTCTTAAAATATAGTTATTTAAATTAAATCTCATACTGATTTAAGTCTTATTAAATGATATTGAAAGAAAATATATTTATATGAAATATACATAAGAAAATATATTTATTTAATGTGATTTGCTTATTTAAATTTAGTAGTATGGGATGATTTTAACACTGAGAATGTCTATATTGTTAAAATTGCCAAATTCTGGTCTCTTGACATATTTATATCAGAAGATGACACTGACACTGTCAAAATAACAAAGACTTAAAAACAGGAATAAATTGTGCTAAAAACTTAATGTAGTTAATGCATGCATGCATTTCATGAATAGTAACCTATATTATTGTCTCTCTGTATTTAACTATTGTAAACATTGTTTTTGTTTATTTTACATTATTTTCTGACACAGATCTTACTATACAGTCCAGGCTGTCCTTGAACTCATTACGTATCCCATGCTAGCCTTGAACTCCTGACTTTGCTGCCTCAGTATTCTGTGAACTACCATAGCCCTTCTGTTAATATTATTTGTAATTATATGCCACATTAAGTAGCAATTATATATATATATATATATATATATATATATATATACATATATATGTATATATACAATATAATTTGCTGAAATTCTGCTTCTTTATTCAGAAATTAAAATAACTTCCAAAACTTAGTATATGCTGCATAAAGTGGGTGGAATAAGGTTAATCTATGATGATCCTTTCTGTTTTTGAATTCTGTTTTTCAAATCATTAAGGTATATTTGTAACTTTTAAAACAATACTTATGATACTTTGACAGGGTTCAACAATGTAGGCAGAGTGATAACAAACTCTATGCACTAATTGCTCTAATTCACAGCTCAAAGTCTGTGACCAGGTGAAGAGAGTTTGAATTCTTTTTTTGGAACCAATTAGCGGGCAAGCCTCAGTGAAGTCAATTAACCCTTTCGACTTTATTTACTTTTTGTTAAATACAAAAATGTAGCATCTACCATAATGGATTTTCTGTAGGATTTTTCATTACCTATTTGTCTAAAAGTAATGTTTTGAGTAATGAACAATGTTTCAGTATCCACAATAAATGGTTTTGACAATTTTACAGTACATACTTACTACTAATAATGACAATCTGTTGCATTTAATTGAACGGATATGTATTTTTATCAAGTTTTTCATGCCATTAAAGCTGAAACCACTTGAACATATATTTAAATAAGAGTATAAATAATGCAAATTAAATGTTGTGAATGAATGGAAACTACTGCACAATTAAACATATATAGAGAGATAGATTTAAATAAAGATATAGATAAAGATATATGAGCAGCTTCCTGAGCACTGATTTCTTAGAGCTTTCCTCAGAAACATATAAATATAAAGCACATACTTACTCATCACACAAATGTTGATTATGTCCAGTTACTTGTGATGGCAAATGGATAAATGTTGTAGATTCCACCAAAAGGACACTGAAATAAAGTTTGGAAAGAATTACTTTCAATTTTACTGCAAGAAAACTTAGATTTACACAATATATCCTTCTTTTACTTTTCCCATAATTCATCAAATATAGTTACTATCACAATAGTTTTAACTGCAGTTTTAAAATTTTCAGATAAAAAATAACATTCTTGACATAGACATAAGCAAGGACTTTCTAAAAAGAAACTCAATTACATAAGTAACACCAACAAGAAATACATGGGGTTATATCAGAGTAAAAGCTTCCATACTACAGAAGAAACACAAAAATAGAGTGAATAAACAACTTACATATTGGTAATATCAACTTAATACTATGTGTAATGTATGGAAAATTCAAACCCAACTTTCTATTTCTTTTGCTTTTATTTTTTATTTTATTTATTTATTTATTTTTTTTGGTACCGGGGATTGAACTCAGGGCCTTGCACTTCCCAGGCAAGTGCTTAATCTACTGAGCTATCTCCCTCACCCTTCAAACACAGCATCCATAGATGCTGACACAAGGGCTACTTGTTTCTACTTGCAGCACAGATACTAAGACTCATATTACTTCACTAAGTAGGCAAAACAGATGCATGATCATCAAAACATAATGAAAGCCAAGGTCACATTACAGGGAGACATAAACTAAAGAAATCCTCACAGTAGCAACAGATATTTTCCAACTTGAGTCTTACTGCTCAGCACAAATACAAATTAAAAATGACAAAACAAGGGAAACAATACGTCCAAAAATTCTTAACACCCCCAAAACTGATTTTAACAGCCACTGAAGGAGATGAAGTTTTAGGGAAATAATGCAAATACCAAATAGTTTAAGCTATTGAAGATACTAAAAAGGAAATTAATAAGCAAATCCATAAGATTTTCATTTGGCACTATACTATATAAATGAACACAGTGAATCCAATTAATAAACATTAAATTTAAGAAGACATAATTAAAAGCAAAATTCTTGCATTCAAGAATACAATGTATGAATATTTATGTAAGCAATTAGAAATTATATAAGTAAATTAAGGAGAAAGCCTGGATATGAAAAATTCAGCTATAACTACAGGCAACAAAAATGACTAATCTGAAGGAAAACTGTAAGAACTTGAACATGGTTGATGTAGAAGATGATGCACACAGTATTATCCTAGACAAAACAAAATAAACAAACATATGCAAGAAAATATGGTGGCTAGATTCAACATGTGCTAGATGAATACAAAATAAATACAATGAATTATATGAGCTAGGGAAAGAGTAGAATAGGACATCAAATGTATAAAATATATTTATGAAAATCATAGCAGAACATTTTCCAGTTTTCCAAGTCCATGAAAAGAATTCAATATTCATATAAATGAAACATACAGCACCCTATACAGCAATGACCAATCACAAAAGAAATTGTAGAGGAAACATCATAGAAAAATGTCCCAGCCATATAGCACACAGAAAGAATATTTAAAAATGCTATAGTAAAATTATTAAGTAACTTATGAAGGCAAGTACGTATCAGAATAATAATACATTTCTCAACACAAACATTAAAGACCAGGAGATCTTCAAGTATATAAAGTCCCAAAAAATTTTAAAAAATAACAACTGAGATTATTATTTCCTGAAAGATAATCTCTAAAACAGATAGATCAAGATCTTTTGCAACAAAGAGAACTTAAGGAAATACATGAGTACAATACCAGCATTTGCAAGAAATACTCAAAGGAATCTGACAAAGGGTGATACTAACAACATTAACCCACCCCAAAAAAGATCCCAAACTGCAAACGTGGGTAAACAAATGAAAAATATGAACTTTAATTATTCAACAAAATAATTCAGTGACATGATTCACAAGACAGCTTTCCATAATAATACCAGACAATGGGCTTAAATCCACAATCACAAGAATGACTGGCAGATTAAAACAAGATCAAAGTTCAACATATTATCTGAAAGAATTGTACCTCATCCATAAAGTAACCTATAGTTTTAAGGTGAAAAGATGAATAGCCATATTTCATGCAACTTAAATTTGTAAGTAAAAGCAGCTCTTCTGTTTTTAGAAAATGTGGACTTCAAGATAAATCTAAGCAAAAGAGACAAAGAATGGTCACTATATCCTGGTAAAATGAACAATTATTTAACAGGGAGAGAAAAAGATCATTAATATATGTGCACCAGATATTGGCATAGCAAATTTTTGAAACAAAATATCATAGATTATGCTGTAACAGAAAATTTGTCAGTAGTTTGCCTATGATCTTAGACTTTGTGGAATAGTGAGATTAAGAGTAATAGACTAATATGGTAGAGGAAATTTCAAGATAGATAATTATTCTGCCTGGGGCATCAATAGTACTTTTCAATTGTAGCTTGATTTGCAGTGAGAATCAGGGATAATCAGTAGCAACATATGTGTTAAGTTTGCCATTTCATTTAGAAAGAAAGTATCTAGAATTTTGTGACAAAGGATAGCTTGGTTACTGCAAACTTTAGAATTAAAAAGAAGCCAAGGACTTCACATCAGGACAACAGGAAAGATGGTTTATGGGTACCTCAGAGAACAGCAAAAATCCACTTTCTGTAAGCTCAAAGGTTCAAAACTGTAAAGCTTTAATTTGAGGAGAGCACCCCAGGGCCCTCTTTTCAGGAAGGGCCACCTAGGAAATTGGTTCCCTGGAATGGGTTTAAAAGTGTTCAGCATTTTAAGTATTCACAGATAACTGTAGGCATGATCCTAATTATTACTCAAATTGTCAACGGATTTGATTTAGTTATTGTCCATTTGTTACTTGTTTTATGAACAATGAGAATGCAAGAATTGTGGGGTCACAGAGGCTTTCCCTGAGTTTTTTGAAGAAGGCTTGGAAGGCAAGACACTATCCCTGAGAGGGCACTGCATGATGCTTAAAGTAAAGCTGAGACCCCAGGATCTCAGAGATGACAGAAATGAGGAACATCTACTAAGGAAAGTTTCAGGCAATGAATAGATTCACCCCAAAAGAGAGCATGAGGACTTCAACTGGCAATGCTGTAGAGTTGGACCACACAAGCATTTTGAAGCTCATATCTCACTACAGTTCACACCAGCTGCTACATGTGGAACTAAAAAGTTTAATATGTGTCCTTCTTGGTTTCAATATTACTATGGTTCTAATTTCCCATTCATCTCTATCCACTTATTTCTTCCTTTTGGAATGGGGATGTTTACTCTGTTCCCTTATATGTTGAGAGTGTTGAACTTTGTTTTTGAGCTTTTCAGGAGTTCACAGCTAAAAGTTTTCCTTAAGTCTCAAAGGAGACGTAAGACTTTCAGAAATGCTGGAATTATTAAGATTATTATGCGTTTTAGAGGCATAAAGACATGAGGATGAATCTTTTGGGGTCAAGAATAGACTGTTATTCTTTTAAGGCTAGAATGTCCCCCAAGAGACTCACATATTTAGAGGTTGGAATTTTAGAAATTGATTGGATAATGGCAGCTGTACAAATTACTTATTATTCTGTTAGAAATTGGGTCACAGTGGATGTAATTAGGGACAACACATCTATCTGCTCTGCCCCTCCCTTCAATCTCTGCATTTAGGCTGCAATAAAATGACCAAATATCCTCTGCCCAGAACGTTCCACCACACTGTTGTTGCCCTGAAGACACATGACCACAATTGGTCACTCAAAATAAGCCTCTCCTCTTTTAAATTGTGTGCATTGGGTTTTTGGTATCAGCAAGAAGAAAGTGAATAAGATAAAGCAATGCCAAATAAATAGCCTAATGATAAAACTCAAGGTCTTAAACAAAATTCAGAAAGTGTCATCCAGATCTTACACCTACAGACAGGAAAAAATCATGAAAATCAGATTAGAAATTAATCAAATTAAGACTAAAAATTTCAGACGATTAATGAATCAGTGACCAGTTTCTCTGAAAAAGTTTACCAAACTCACCAAAGGAAAGAATGAAAAGCCTCATATCAGTGCAGTTAGAAGTGAAAAAGTTGAATTCACAATGTATACCACCTCAATCCACAGGATTGTTAAAAACAGTTTCTCATCTTATATTTCAATAAATTGGAGCCTCTATAAAAATGAATAAACTTTTAGAGACACATGAATTATCAAAATAAAACCTAGAAGATGCAAAAACTTTGAACAGACCAATAGCAATCAAAGAAACTGAGGCAGCAATAAGACCAGAAAAAGACAACAATGAATTTTAGTAGAACTTCAGAGAAGTATCTCAAATATTCTTTTTTTTTTTTTTTTGCAAAACTGGGGATCAAACTCAGGCCCTTGCACTTGCCAGGGAAGCATTTATTCCACTGAGCCATCTCCCCAGCCCCCCCTCAAATATTCTTTAAAGGTTTTATCATATTATAAGTGATGGAGCACTGCAAAATTCATTATTTGAAGCTAACAATACTATGATACCAAATCCAGACATAAACTCAATATATAAAGAAAACTATAGGCTAATTTCCTTAATGAACATGGATGCAAAAGTCCTAGGCAAGATATTTACAAAGATAATGCAACAAATCATTAAAAAGATCATGCATCGTGATAAAGTTAGGCTCATCCCAGGGATTCAAGAATGGTTGAAAATATGTAAACAATAATTAAAATATGCCACATAAACAGAAATATAAAATTTACATGATGATTTGGCTAAATGCAGAACAAGAGTTTGATTTAATCCAGCATTCATTTATGATAAAATCCTTGATGAAAGTGATTATTGAGCAATCTTATGCCAAACTGATGAGTTATGTATGAAAATTTCACTGCCAACAGCATATTGAAAACAAAAACTGAAAACATTCCCTATAAAATGTGGAACAAATAGGTGCTGGGAGAGATAGTTGGGTAGTCTCAGTGCCTGCCTGGCAATAACAAGGACCTGATTTCGATCCCTGGTTCCACATGCCATGTGGGACCCATGCCTAGCCAGCCAGCAACACTGGGCAGTTATGCTGACATATGCCTGTACCCC